GTGAAGAAGGAGGAGGAGAAAAGGGATGAGGAGGAGAAGGAGGAGGATAGGATAAGCGGAGGAAGAAAGAATCATGTGACGCAATCAACAGTTTGAGCAAGGCTAAATGCCTCAGTGACGTTGACATGTGACTTCCTGCTAGCATAATCATTGACGTCTTCTGAACAGTTCCATCTGCCCAATTTCATTCACAATCTTGGGTCAACCCATGCTATTTGTTTCAAGCAGTTTTCAAAAGGTGCTGCACAATTTGATCGTCTCCCCATGCCGATATTATCAAACAGTTAACTCCATGACAAATCGATTATGGTAAGATTCGAACCAAGTTTCACTGTCGTTCTAACCAATCAGCCAAGCGGCGATGATTTCCCTGTATCTACTTTAATTACCATTGGATTGAACTTAGATCATGTATATTATTATTCTACAGTGTTTTTTTTTATCTTTAAAAAAATGATACTGGCATCATGATCATCAGCGTTATATGAAATTATACATGAATGTGTTCTATTATTCACAAGTTCAAATATCTCGAAGCAAATGACTTCAAAACGTCAGTGTATCTCCCAGTCAATCTATGCGATAAGCTTGCCAGTCGGCATATTACACGGTTTGATTACGGGGGAACCATTTGAGGAATGCTATCTCAGAAATATCTAACACAGAAGATAATAGTGTCATTGCGCCATGGCTTGCCTGACAGTTGCAAGATGATCCCATTTCCTAGGTTCGGTTGACGGAATACATTGGATAGATAAGCCACCTAGTCAGAGAAATGTGACAGACGAATTATCCATTGTTTGGAATTTGATTTCTTGTTTTCTGCTAGAACGTCGCATGTGAGAAACATGCAAGGTAAATTATTCTACGTTTCAACATCACAATACGATTGCCATTTATTATGACATTACTGAAACATGCCGGTGGATGGCAAAATGAAAGGAATGGAATAATAAATGGACATATCGATATTTACTTGACAATAAGTAATACCTGTTACATGACCTTATGAGTATCGAACTCTGTAACTCTTCTTCAAATAAAAACTTTTACGGTGAAAAACAGAACTCTAACATTGAATTATATATATATATATATATATATATATATATATATATATATATATAGTAGTGTACCCGTGATTGTCAAAATGACAAGAAATATTTTATACGTATATATATATTGTAATAATTTTCGTTTAATCCGAGTACAATTTTGTAATTTAAAATTGTTCGTTGTTAACGTTAATAACTGAACAGTGTCCATTTTATAAACACCTAGCAAAAGATATCAGTATATTATCCTCATAAATGTTACATATTTACCAACCAAAATTTTAGTTTACTGCAGAATTTCCCAAGACGCAATACTTTTTGTGTAAACTTTGGAAAGTCTGAGTAATACTTGGCAGTTCCGTAGATTCAATCTGCAATTTCAGTCTGCTTATTTCTCGTCCGACTAAGAGCAAAGCATTATCAAAAATTTTCAATTTTTTTTTTCTCAACTATTACCAAATTCCACAAGATATGCTCCGAATCGTAACATAAAAAACAGCATTAAAACTATCTAATTATTTAATTGCATAAGCTTTTAATTGCTATCACAAATAATATAAATGAAGGATATAGTGTGAATAAAAAAATAAAAAAAAACTGTTTCGATAAATAATAACTTATTACAAGAATTGTCTCTCGCACATTTTTAACTATTATTTTTAAAGTTTAAAAATAATTTCTAAAAATGAACAAAGCATTCTTGAAGATATATGTGGCATATTACACACACACACACACACACATATATATATATATATATATATATATATATATATATATATATATATATATATATACACGAATGAAAGTGGTGGTGGTGGTAGCAGATTACCTAAAACCATCATAAAATATCAGCATGTGGAAATAGTAAATACTAAACACTTCAAATAAATCTGACTCTAGATCAATTAGAAGTAATTTAGTATAGGACAAAAGGAAAGTGAACATAGAATAGACAGCGCCAGAGATAGTTTCGAAAACACTGTAAATTGCTAAAAACCCAAACATCAGTCTGAAAACTCTAGTCATGTTCTTAAATTGCTTGTCAAATTGCTACTTTCATATGGAAGTCATGCATAACGCCAAACTGAAAACCTCTATCGGTCCAGAAAGCCGTATACGAGTGTAGGCTGAAAACCAAAAGAGAAATTGTATTCTGGTCTACTTGCATGTCTTTTCGTTCACCAACTGGTGTATTTATTTACATTTCTATCTTGGTCAGCCTATGGACTTTCCAACCGGCTTTGGTATGAATGCCATACATGGCACCAAAGCAGTTCAGAAATTTCTAAACTGTCAGATGTATATAACCGCTTTCTAATGGTTAAAATGGCTGTGAGCAAGTGATGCCTAAGAATCTTGGCAAAGATCACACTCCATTGAACATTGTGGGTTGGTGCTATAGAATCACAAAGAACCTTGAGGGGAAAATAACAGAAACCACATCACTTGAGGACGACCAGCAACGGTAACAATTAAAATAGATAGCACATGAAATTTTAAGAGAAAATGACATAATGAAGATGTTGACATTCCACGCAACTTTAAATTTACCTTCAGGAAGGAAATATCCAGTAATGAAAAAGCGATGACAGCTATCTGGGACTTAATAGACCTATTTTCATAAAAATTGTTTTGAGAGAAATATTTTTTAAATTTCAACCTGAAACAGTACTGGCTGCACGATCAATGAATGCCAAATGTTTCCTTATAAGGAAACTGCTAATATTATTACGAATACGTACGTAGAACGCATACAAAAGCAGAACTTCTTTCTTTAAAAAAAATACATGAATACATTGACCTAAAGTCATGCATTAGCACTATGTAAAAGTTAATGTTAGACTGTCCCACAGTAGCTTGATGTCACAGAAATATCTAACCCTGTATCATCTGTGCTCTGATATCTGGTGAGTAAGTGTAAACACCAACTAGGCTTCTCATAGCAAGGTGACGTGAAATGTCGGAGCTCAAACAGATTATGAAAGTGTCACATAGAGGGGACATTCTGTTACTGAAATTGTGGATGCATTTGATATTTTTCTATCTACGTCATCATGTGTCTGGAATATATCGAAGGTGTTACATCCTATCGTGGACAGCGCTGTGTCTGACTGCGGGTTATTAACGATCTTGAACAGATGCGTCTGGTTGGTTTGTTTTGTTTTACGGCATATCAACATCAATGGGTTATTTAATCCCGACAAGATTTTTAGGATAGGTTCACATGAATACAATATGTATTCTTTGGTTTAGTTTGGTTTCGTTTATTTTGTTTTACGACATATCAACCTCAATGGGTTATTTAATGCCGACAAGATTTTTATTGCTGGTAATATTTTTTTTTCCCAAAAAAGTGTTGATAGTATTAAAAACTATTTTAACGCTTTCATAGTGTAAGATGATGAGACCTTACCGCCAATCTAGTAGTAGGCTTAAATTCATCAAATTTAGTTACGAAAGACGAAAGCTCATCACAACTACTTGGTTTGGTTGGTTTTATGCCATATCAACCTCAATGGTTTATTTAATTGCGACAAGATTTTTAATGCTGGTAATAATTTTTTCTAAAAAATGTAGTGTTGGTAATTTTTTTTTTAATAATGTATAGCTGTTTTTTTTTTTTTTTTTTGTTTATTTTCAAAAATGTATAGCTGGTATTTTTTTTTTAAAAATGTATAGCTGGTATTTTTTTTTTTTTTCAAAAATGTATAGCTGGTATTTTTTTTCAAAAATGTATAGCTGGTAATATTTTTTTTTTCAAAAATGTATTGCTGGTAATAATGTTGGTATTAAAACCTATTTTTACACTTTCATAGTGTTTTGACCCCAATTTGGGGGTTAACTATTTACCCATAACTGGTACCCTACCAGGTAGTCCTGGGAACACCAGCAATTAAAAGGTGCTTCCACGATCCTCAAAACCTCCTGATCAGACGCCTTGCTGTTGGATGTAGTCTATCATCATACCCAGGACAGAGATGCGTCTGAACAGAATTGTCTGTTACTACAAACAACCAAATTCTTCTATGTATCGTGTCTCTTCAGAACGTTGACATTTTTTCAAGTTTATTGTAAAGTTCGAGTATGGTTCCCCATGAGACCATTTATCCCAATTTTCAGCACGGCAAATTGCAGATTAATAGTGATTTAATAATACCGTTGAGTGTGTTCATACAGGACAGTTTGTCTGCGATTGTCCATCTGATAATGCACTGCTTCCTGACCATTTGCATCCATTTATAAACACCATCTATTTCAGAAAGAAAGGAGTAGAATAACTCGATGTGGTGCCGGGTCTAAGTTACACAGACTTCGAAGGAGTATTGTAGAAATTTCCGGCGAATTGTGTGGCTACTACTTTCACCAGACAGAAGTCCAATCAGGTAGTAATAGTACGTGACAGACAAATCTACTCACATGCAATATACTGTAAATATCAGAGAGTTGCAGACAGCTATCGAGAGGGCATAGCTCCAGATGTCTTCTGACTACCTGTGGAATCAATATCACGTATTACTGAACTTCACGAAGCTAGTGGTTTCGGACGTCATATGTGGCACCTATGCCATCATTTTAGTCACGTATGAACATGAATATTGTTCAAATATTAAACATCTCTTCAAGAGAAGAATATATTTAATCAACCTATTTTAAATGGCTTTCGTTTAAATGAATTTTTTTTGCATCAGTGCATGTGATGGGATTATTTGGTTGATTGATTTTGATTTTTAAGGCTTATCAACACTTTGCAGGTTATTAAAAATCGAAAAACATTTTTAGATTGTAAGAATATTTTAGCGATAATTCCTACAAATTAACCTATAGGTGGGGGAGAAGAAGTGAATCCATACGGTATTTGAGAATCCGACTGTAATTGGAACTCGGTCCCCTCACCCGATTTCTGATTTTGAGCCGCTAAACATACACCACCGCACATCCAAGCTTACATCGCTAGGTATTCCCAAGCGGTCACCCATCTAAGTACTGACCCGGCTCGATATTACTTCGGTGATCGTACGCGAACCGGTATTTCAACGTTATATGACCGAAGGAAGGTTGTATTGTTTAACTCTGTTCCTCTTGCCTTCAATGTATCCTGTGAGTGGCGAATTTTCCAAGCCCCCTTTCCTTGTTATCCACCCTAGAAACGTCAATTATTTCTTTCTGATGTTAAGTATAGTTGTTTTATTTTAAGTAAGTCTGTTTCTGTTTTTTTTTGTTTTTTTATAAAACTTCGTCGTTGTTCACATATTCAGTCCATGGTATTCTCAGCATCCTTCTGTAGAACCACATTTCTGTTTCAAGTCTTTTCTCATTATACGATTATCATAAAATACTTCGCAACGTACCTGTATATCTGTTTCTGGTAACATTTTGGTTTAAATGATTTCATTTTTTTTGTATTTTTATATTTTATATTTTATAAGTTTTTATGCTTTTTATAACTTTTAGTTTTACTTTCCGTCTTTCAACCCAAAACAAATTTAAAAAAAAAATAAAAATATTTCCTTAAAAAACAGATTGAGACAGAAGGGATTTTTTAAAGAATGTATTAAACTAGGTTATATTAAAACATACTTCAGAAATATTTTCGACCTGTACAATGAAGCGATTCTGAGAGAAATAGAAGTTCTACTAAGATTCATTATAGATGGTCACACTCTTAACACCATAAGATATGCAGATGAGGCAGTGTTAATAGCATACGCAGAAATGATGCGTCAAGAACTCTGACAGAATTTAGAGACGGAAAACAAGAAGAAAGGAATAAACATCAATTAAAAAAAAAAAAGAAAGACAGAATGCATGATCATTAGCAAAAGTAACAGCACAGCATACAAATTGGTGATACCAAAATCGAACACATAAAACAAATTAAATATTTGGGAAGTATTTTAATAGAGAACAGAAAGTACGACACCAATGCGTAGGCGCAATGGGATAGCGAAAGATGCCTTCCAAAAGCTAAGCAAAGCATTAAGAAGCAGAACAAAAAGTACTGAAAATATTACATAATATCAGTTTTTCCATATGGCAATGAATTCTGGACAATCTCCTCTCAGATTAAAAGAGACATGAAGCAACAGAATTGTGGTTCTACAGAGGGATGCTGAGAATACTATAGACCGTGGGAGCAACGATAAAGTTTTAGAGAAAATAGAAACTAAAAGGACTGCCATACTTAACATCAGCAAGAGGTCGTTGAAATTCTAGGGTACATAATGAAGAAAGAGAGCTTTGGAAATGGTCATACTCACAGAACAGATTGAAGACAGGAAAATAACGCATGACAATCCTAGCAAGCTTGTATAAATGGATAGCAGAACAAGGCTATAACAAAACGACCAAATTTATTAAGAGCTACAAAGGACAGGAATTTAATGTTGTACTTGTGGTGAAGAATCGTATGCACACTTGCGAAATGGCACCGGATTGTGTGCATATATGTCGAGGGAAAAGAGAAGAAATAGAAAAAAAAAAAACAACAACAGAAATGTGATATCAGTTTTGAAAGCTTTTCCATCTGGGCTTCTACTAGCTTTTTTCCATTATGAGCATTTGCCCCACATCTATGTGTCGCGTCCCTTCAGGACGTAGGCGGTCATGGCTCTCCACAATTCCTTGCCCTTTGTTGCTCTTAATAAACTTCGTCTTATTGTTACCTCACGGAAACCTTGCTGCGCCATACATTTACTCAATCTCTCTCACTAGGTTATGTTTTTCTCTCTGTCCCTCTTGCTTTCAATATGCCTTGAGTGCCAAGTTTTCTAGCCTTCTTTCATCATTATATACCCCCAAAATTTAAACTCTTTCTGATAAGTATAAGCATTCTATTTTTATCTTCTCTAAAGCGTCGTTACTCACATGTTCATTCCATTGTATAATCAGCATCCTTCTGTAGTACCTTCTGTTGCTTCAAGTTTCTACGAGGAGGCTGTTTAGCATTCAATGATATATGATTATATATGATATAGGACTGGTATTACATAACTGTTTCCTCTGTTTCTAACTAAATTTTCCTGTTAGTTATTACTTTGCTTAGGTTTTGGAAGGCATCTCAATGCGCCTTCGCATTTGTTTCACACTTTCCGTCTTCTATTAAAACCCTTCAGATAGTTGGCCTGATCAATTAGTAACTACATACATAACATAATTCTTTATGCAGGAAATATTTCGAATGATTTCTAATAAATATTTTACTATCTATAAACACACTCTTTTATATCACCAACTTTAGGGAACTCCGGCATGCTGTAATGACTAATAAGCTTGTCTTGCTCTAACGGTTACGAATGAATAACGAGTTCGATACTCACTGCGGGCCAAATACTTTCGGCCATGTGCCACATCTAAGCTACAATTAATATATCATCATTATTATATCATAATCTTTTATAAAACCCATTCTTAAAGAAACTAGAATATATGTACCTGCTCGTATAATCATTATGACCCTCACAAAACGTTCCCAAATCAACTTGCGGACAACCATCATGTTAATAATGCATATTATGCACACACACACACACACACACACACACACACACACACACACAATCATCCGGATTCTGCATAGACAAACTGGAATTATGATTCACATGAATTATACACGAACGCTGCTTGACAAAACAGATGCACGTAAGTTCTGATTAACAAAAGAAAATAAAAAAAAACATAAAAATTTAAAATAGCAGAATTAAAGTAGTAATCGATGAAACTCAAAATTACCTTATGGACTATAAATCTTTCAACCGACGAAAACTTTGTCATTCTTATTCAACCCCGGTATACAGATTGGGTTTGTGTCGGAATTATAAATTGAACTGTGACAGCTGTCGAAAAATTAAAAAAAACAAAAAAATTTTTTTTATTTCACTCTTAGTTTCAAATCAACTTCATTCTTTATATAATCCCACTTTAATGTCATAAGGTTAATATCCGGTTTTATTTTTATAAGACCTCTTCCCTTTAAAACTAATACTTTCCACACTCCCTAACCACTGTCTCGTGCCTTTTGTCTGACTGAAACAGTGAAAGGAATAATTTCTGTATTAATTTTTCGACAGCTGTCACAGTTAAATTTCTAATTGCCATACGTACTCTGTCTGTATGGCAGGGTTGAATAAGACTGACGAAGTTTACGTCGGTTGAAATAGATCTATACTCCATATGAGGTAATTATGGATTTTATAATTTACTACCTTTTATTTGGTATAATAAATACGTCGAACTCTTTTTGTGGATCACTTTTAATATTTTATATTACTTGGATCCACTTGGATTATACACCAACGGATTTATTACCTCACTCTCTCTCTCTCATATATATATATATATATATATATATATATATATATATATATATATATAATGTAATAAATTTGGGTTGGTAATCCTGACATTTATAAGTTGACTTTTTGTAATTACATACCCAAATTTATTTTCGAAACATACATTCATGAACGTTTTTCCAAATCTGAATATTATATATATATATATATATACAAGAAGGAGAAAGTGGGCAAGTGAAATGAACCATTATAGAAATCTTTCGTTTCGAGAAGTTTTATTCTCGAAATATAAAAATTGAACAGGAAAAGTAGCATATCACTGAAACGAATGTCAACACAATTAGCGTTTCTTTAAGCGGTAACGGCTCACGTGGAAGTCGGCATATCTATGAGAAACTAGTTTTATTCCTTGCTCTGGTTTTCTGTTAATGACGTCATGATTGATGATGCGTGCCCGTGTAGATGCACGGGTTTTCCAGTGACGAAACATTCAACACCACCCTTACCGTCAAACAGTTAGATTCTATCCGCACTCCATCCCAACCAATACACCCATCGCTAGAGCCGCCACCTCAGTTACAGTCATCGACTTCACTCCCGTGTCCAATATTGTGATTGATTGCACAGGTTATCGACGTACAATGATACATTATAGCCCGAATGTGTCTTTCTCTCATACTGTCGACAATAGGTCTCATCACTGGAGCCATCTATCGACTCGGTTCATCCGATTTTGCATCCAGCGCACAAGATTGATAACGGTCGAGGTATGAAGAACTGTTGAAAGGGAATTCGAATAAGAGGAAAAGGGTGGGTATGTTTCTGGCCGGGGGTGGGAAGAGAAGGCAGAGATATACGAAAATGAGTTAGAAAGAGTGTGATAACTAAATATGTGGGGTCGGTGACGTAGTTTAAATTGGGAAGTAGTATACATGCGTGGTTGCAAGATTTACAATGCAGTTTGTTGATGGTGGAAGCTGGATAAATGGTGGCAGCGAAAGAATTTTTAGAAAAGACGTGAAAAATATAAAATGTGTGTAGGTTAAAAAAAAAAAAAAAAAAAAAAAAAAAACGAAGCTCAAAAAATGGTAGTAATTGTGTTTTTGAGATACTGTGATCGACATTTTTTTATATAAATATACGAAGTGAAAATTTTCAAGAGACGAATAAAAAGGACGTTATCGCTTTACAATAAGTCTGATATGCCAAAACGTCAATTCATATAAAATATCCTACATATATTAACGCATTTCGAAGCTATACCATAGTAGAATAAAATGTAGAGATCTGTAATAAAAGGTTTTCTCCGCTTCCTACAATTTCTTTTATTCTTGTAACATACTTCATTCACCGATTTCGATTGTATTGAATCCATTGCTAGATCTGCTGCTAAGAAAGTTGGTTCACTGTGTCGTGCTAGACAGTTTTCCGCTCCAGAATCTATCTTACATATCTGTAAGTCTGCCATTCGTCCATGCTTTGAATATTGATGCTACATATGGTCCGGTTCTCCTGCTATACAATTAGAGATTCCTGATTAAAAAAAAAAAAAAACAAAAAAACTAAGAATCAGCAATATTATCGGTCCTGACCTGGCATCTGGGCTTTAGTTACTTCTATAACGTACCTTCCCTGTTCATTTTCTATAAATACTTTCACGGTAATTGTTCTTAACCGGGCTGCCTAGATTTTATGAATTTAAGGGCAGTACTAGATTAGCAACACGGTCTCATCAATTTAAACTTAAATTGGCTAGA